TCCACTTCGACCGCTTCTTCGAGTCATGAACAACAATCGGTGTCGGAAAGTCCGGGAAGCCATCCTGCCCAACCATCTCATACTGAGGATCGCTAAAATATGGCAACGCAATATGTATTACATTGCGGTGTCGAAAGGCAAAGACGCACAAGTAAAAGCCCGCCAGCAGGGTGGACAAGTACAACAATCGCCTAATAATGCGACTAGGCCGATGCTTGAATAACAGGTCTGATTTTGACCTTCTTCGCCTTGGTACAAGAGCTGGGAGGCTAGGGGATGGGGGTGGTGAAAAGAGAAGGTGATTGAAATTCAACCTAGAAGAGGTCGATGAAATTGTGCCAGCACTGCGGTCATTGTACGAGGCAGTTCGGCGCAAGTTAATCCGCGGCGGCGCAACCATAACTTTTCCGTGCACAGAAGATTGTGATAGATCGAGTCGAGTCGCCATTTTGTCGCCGAAACTGGCGAACCAAGCATGCCCTCAAATGGTGACGAAATGCATCAAGTGAATAAATAAAGAGGGTGAAGGAAGCTAAAGTATCAAGTCGAGAGATAGGGGGAGAGAAAGAAAGGAGATGAGCGACGCTTTAGAGAAGAAAAAGAGAAATTAAGTAAGGAAGGAATAAAACGAAAGGGTATAACCGAGTGGACGTGGCGTTGAGGATGATGTGAAGAAATCGGGACGGGAGGCCGTTATGACGAAGTCGGGTGATCGGCACAATGGCAGACAGCCCGGTCCCTTCGTCTGAGGAAAGAGGAATATAGAATCGAATTTAGAAAGCCCCCCGCGTCATCAGGGAAGGTGTCGAAGAATGATCTCCACCGCGGATGGCAAAATGAAGCAGGTTGGCCGTGATCGTCCTGAGTTGCTGGGGTCTAGGTTGTAACTGGGCGCAAGGATTGTTCCACGACGGCTTGGATCGAGACGATGTATGTAGTCGGATGTGACGGGCAGGGCCCAGGGGAATAGCAACGCAGCAGAGAAAACAAATGAATGTGAAAATCGAGAAACTCGCTCATGCAACGAAACATGAAAACCACACAGTATGGCTGGAAAAAGCAGGTGAGGCCTAGTTATAGTAGTCCAAGCCCCTTGGACGCCAAAACCACACGAGCATCAGTCCAAGTGGCGAGATGGGATGAAGCGTCTCGAAGTGTGCTGATCAACGCCAGCATAAGCCAACAAGCCGATCCCCTTTCCTCGTCTATGTCGATCCACCCGGTGGTAGGGAGGTTTGTGAATGAAGATTGTCCCCTCTGTCTCGTTTTGGGGCGTGCTGGACGACGATCGCCTTGTTCAATGTCGACGGCCCTTGAACCACTTGTTGAGAAGGAATGTGTGCTCACTCCCAAATCAGTCCAGCTATGCCGAGGGCCAGCCTCGTTATTTCTATTGTCTTGTATGTGAAGAGGACGTAGTACATGAATAAATTATCAAGGAGCCTTCTGAGGAGAAAAAAGGACCAAAAGGGACCAGACCCTTGACCAGTGGGCTTAGCGAGGCTTGTTCTTCTGGCCAAGAAGGCTTGGTCCACGCAGGGTCCTCAAAGAGACGTCGTGTCGACGTCGATATCGAGAGGTTCGAAGGCGACCCACAGGGGTCAGGAACACGGGGCTTGGTTGGGCAAGCAGAGCAACTAATGTGATGCAGGCTTAGGATGTTGATGATCCGGGCCAACAGTTTTGATAAGGACATGGGGCCCGAAGTGGCAGCTGGAAGCCCAGAGTTTGACATGGCACCAGGATGATTGCCCAACATGTTCTTGCGGCGCGAACATGGCAAACATGGTCACACGACGTCGCGCGGTTTTACATGTACCATGCAATCATCACGACCGATAAGTCGCGTCAATGCTGAAGAAGTCGACAAAAGAGCAAAACGAACAAAGCGCGCTCCATAATACTTCAAAACCCGCAGTCATGCCAGGAAGCCACTCGATGCGAGTGCGCCGCTGGCCCGCTCGAAAATGGCGACGGGCAAAAAAAATATCCCATGACAATATTCTGTCATGCGCCAGCAAAGAACCCAAGAAATTGGCCGATGTGAGTACGGAGTACGGAGTATTGTACAAGACAATGGATGGATTGCAAGAGGCGGCGGGCAAGCGAGGGCCGAGGCTGCAGAGACTTTTGTCGTCATGGGCTGTCATAGGTCGCCATGGGCTGCCACGGGCCACTCGACGACCAGGGTATGCACCAGGGATGCTCTTTCCGTCCAACCGCGGCGCTCTGGGACTGGGGAAAGAGTAAAGATGAAACAACTTGCATCTGTTGGCTGCTACATTGTACAGTGAGATAAAGTACCAACGGCGGCCGTGCGCGGCTTAGTAGTACAATGATGTCATGTATCCGCGGCCCTGGCAGGGGCCCGCTTGAGATGTTTCATAATGGCGCTCAAGTGCGCAAGTGCGCAAGTGCTCAAGCGTCCTGGCGGGACGTTTGCCATACTTCCTTCCTTGCGGGCATCGTGAACTGGGACTGGTAACTCATCCTCCAGATTGTTTTCTCACGACATCTACGGAGTATACGCCCCCAATCTCCGTCACTACCTACCTAGGTAGTATTTACTAGCGAGGCGCTCGTGCGCCATTTTGTTCCTCATTGGCTATCTGGCACCGACCGGTGAATAACAAACTCCCCGTTGGTTGCCATGTAATAAAAATTCTAACTTTAGACTAACGGCGACTTCAACATAAGGAGCTATTGTATTAGCTGACCTGACCTGACCGCAGGACCCTGAAATCAGCAGCCACAACTCAGTATGAAGCAAATCGTAAATCAACCTTAAAAAGTCAAAATGGCTCCTGCAGGTATATTTGCCTCGACAAGAAGCTGGATCTCTCGACAGGTGTTGAATGCGATTAGGCGTAGCGTTCCCTCCCAGGAGGAAATGCTCCTCGAACCAGACCTCGTGTAAAACGGTGATGTGTCGACCTCCGGCTGAATACACATGCACCTCAAAAACAAGGGTTGATAAATATGCAGCCGTGTTTCGAGCCTGGCTCAGATCAACCAGCTGCCATTAATAAAAGGGGAACCAACTCCCAGGGGGCCAGCTCAGCCAGTGCAATCCTGCGACAACCCCTTTAGATCGACCAACTTCTGATGAATTTCCGCAGCGAGTATGTACATCTCTCTCCCAGGCCTGTCAAGTTTTCAGGCTTGGGCTCGGAAAGTTAATGGGTTGAATTGGTAGACGGCCGATTCAATATCCCGGGCGCAACAACAACATGCCGGTTATCGGCGCCGGCGACTATTGGAGGTCCCTTTTTGTAAACCCCCTGAAGTCTATAACAACGATGAACCCAGTATGTATCCACGTGGTACAACGACAGCACCTGCAACTAGTCTACTCCAGGACCAAGAATGCTCCGAAAGACTCGCATTGATACCCAGGGCTTTCCAGTGATGCAACCTAGTCCCATACCCATAGAATTCAACTCTCTCATAGGAATTGCAACAATTTCATTCACATGGCAACATCTCAACCATCCCAATAGACCATGACATCCAATTACACGACATGGTGTGTATCACTGAATGCCATCTCAAAGTTAATCAGTCCATGTGGCTGTACCTGTCAACTGCCTGAACTACTGATTACGGAGCAGTTATAGTGTCCTCAATGTGTCAGAACTTGGCTATTAGACAGGGTACAAGAGTGTGAGGCGGCAATCCAGATTTGTGTACAAGAAAGGCATTCCTAAGGGCATCCCAAGCTCCAGCCTGACGGAAAGAGGAAGCACGAATATGTGTTATTGTGTATTACATAAACGTGTGTCCTCCCTCATGTGATTTTTTTTTTTTTTTTTCGTTTTAGACATTCAAAGCTATCCCAGAATGTCTACCCGTTTCAGCTAAGATGTTTCAGTCTCATCGTAAATCGAGACGTAATATAAAAGAGGCACAGCAATAGAGTTACCTCTAGCGAAATTCAGCACACCCCTAATGGTACCAAGCATGGACAACACAGTGTTCAGCAAAGACATGATGAAAAAAAGAAAATGTGAACACGATGGACATCCAGAATTGGAGATTGATCTGGGTCGCCCACCTAAAGCTACCCGTCTCTTCAATATTACAGACAGAAGTACCGATGACAAAAGAAACGGCAAAAGCATACTCGCAAATGCAAACGGAAGACCTAACGAGTATAGTTCGCGTCGTGCCCCAAGCGGAAATCTCTCGTGCTTCTTGGCCCAATGATTCATCAAGGAAGCCGAAAGCGCAAATTCCAAGGCGAGTCCGCCCCAGAGCATACATGTAATACCCGCCACATACCATATCACTAAGGTGCCAATGGATGAAATATACACACAGGAAGCGATGACCCAACCCAGGCCGGGGAGATGCTCCGCCATGTAGTGCTCCCGCCTAATGACCTCGGTAAGCCTGAACAGGCGCCATGCAAATTGGCCACGGTCGGTATCGTGGCGGCTACCAACGCGAGAGACGACCAGATTCTGCCAACCGGTCAGCTTTGAAACTGCCCAAAGGCATCCAGGTGGCTGTCGAGTCGTTGGGGGACGGTGTGCCTGTACGCTGCCAGGAAGAGCAACCCAAATACCACCCTCAGGCCGTCGGCCAGGTACAAAATTGGTGAGGCACAAAGGAGTACATTATGCTCATACTCAAGGCCGAGGACACGACCGCACGGCTGAGCAGTAGAGCCTCCGTGGACGGATGGAGGCTCGTGCCATTTGCCATGATGTTGTCGGAAACCGTAGCCGTGTTTTACTTGTGCGTGTTAGTCGTCCTCAGATACTCTGGGCAAAGAGCCCGCGATGTGCATCATGTATAAAGATGTATAAATCCACATACACGCTTATATAGATATATAAAGACGCGAAGCAGCCGCGCTTCTACACAGCTGAGAGCGCATCTTGCATTTCGCCTCATGTACGTGTAGTCGGACGCCAGCCGACAATTTCGAAACACGATCCCTTTGGTTTCTAAGCGCGCGCCAACTTTGCCAGCCGTCATACTGGAATCAAGTTGAAATGCCAGACGGCCACACAGATAGGATACCAGGTCCTCATCACGGGGGCAACTTTGAGCCCCCAACGCGGAAACGAATCCAAGCCCACCACGCCGCAAGGCCATCACTCACACGAGCCGTGTATACCGACCGTGAGACACCGGACATTATGTCGCCAGTCAAGGCCAAACTTAACTAAAATATAAAAAGTCTACATCTGGGATAAGGACCCCGTCACTAGGGTCAGGGAAACACGGCAGGAGTCAGCACTCACAACAAAGCATCATTGGTTTATCCCACAGAACCTCGTATCGTATAACGTCGAGTCTGCCGAGTAGGCAACACATGCTACAGTGGGTGTAGTACTCCGCCGACGTCTTCATCTTCTTTTAACAAACATTCGGCAGTGTGTGGTACACTAAAGTACGAATGGCGTAGAATTACCAAATCGGGTAATCAGAGGCGTCCGGCATCGAATCGCAATGGATCAGCCATCGGCAATGTCTCACAACAGGCATTGTGCCAATCTCAGCCACCGCCGTCCAGTTTTACATTCATACTTGGATACATGCACCATGGATCACCACATCAAAGGGCCAACAGAATCGTTGCAATACGGCAACATTGCACCTTTTGTCCTTGTCTCCATTAGACTCATGACTATCCGCATAGTGACATAAAATACATAATAAAGCCGACAGATATAAGCTATACGCTAATAATGGTCCTCAACGAATGCCATTAGAAAAAGAGATTGAAACGACCCCTCGTCTTATCGCGTGGTACTTCTCAGAAAGAAAGCATCATGTCTCGTCCGGCTCTCGCGCAGAAAATAGAAGCAACAACCATATTGAGCATCTGTGTAGCCGAACCAACCAAGATCATGTCTGCGTCCAAGGGCCCAAAACAGCCAAAGTATGACCGGCTCGGCGATGGGATCAAGTAAAGAATATTGGCCCAGAAAGAGAAGAAGAAGAAGAAGAAGAAGTCGAAAAAAAGTAGCAGATCGTAGGGTATAAACGCAGGTCAAGTCCGAAATCAGTCCTGGACTCCGAACACATTAAAAAACAACCATGCCTCCGCAATACAATTCACAAAGGGATTTACAAGTCAGTTTGCCGTGGCTTAAAACTCGTTGCAACCGCAGAAGTTGGCCCATCACACAGACTCAATTGCGGACACGGCTGGCGAAGCCGTAGGGACTGGACTTTGTCGCAAGGGTTCCAAGGTATGTGGCGGCTCTGACAGTGAGTCCAACTTCTGTCCACCAGGTAATCGCACGCTGCCTCGCGATCCACGGATGATTTGCCCTGTTTCAACGCGGTCCTGGATCATCTCTTCAAGCATTCTATTCATCTCATCGACGCTCTTGGTCCGCCTCCTGTGGAACTGGTTGTTCGTAGGGCTACTTGGCATCGTCATCTTGGCCGGATCCGTAACTGGGGTTGGTCGTGCGTCGGCTGAAGCGTCAGCAGTGTCTCGAGAGCGCGCAGCACTCCTCAGAGCGGCAAGCATACGGTCTTTATCATCAAGGCGAGCACGGAGATCAGCAATCTCGGCATCCTTTTCCTTCAAGGCAGCAGCGACGCTGTGGTCTTCACCAACCATGATATTCTTACTTGGCGCGGAAAATCCAACAGAGGTTCTCGACGAGCTTGCCCGCCTCGCTTGGAGAAGTCTCTTCTCCAAAGTGGCAATGTACCGGTTCTTATCAACTAGGTCTGCCTGAAGCGCCCGGTTTTGGGCCGTCAGGGAAGCTGTGCCGTCTCCATACTCCCCAACGCTATCGTCCTCGGCATCAATGGCCTCTCGCTCACATTCGCCAGATAATCTTTGGCCACCGCTAGAACGTCGCCCGATTGTCGATGACGCTGACGTCATTGACGCAGTGCGCTCCAGCAGAGGTTTTGATCCAATGGACGTGGCAACTGAGGATCTGATCGACCCCGTCAGGGAGAGTTGAGAGAATCGTGCATACTGTCCAAGGGAGCTTAATGAGCCGTTGGAATTGACCCCGATCGACTTGGAGCTGAGGATCAGCCGGTTGAGATGATCAATTCGTTCCTTCAGCGCCGTTCTTGCAAGCTGCATCTCCAGCATTTGCTCCTCGTGTCTCTCGACAGCCTCCATTTCTCTGACTTTTTCTGCTTCCTCATCCTTCTCCTTGTCCTTGTCCGCCTCGCTGTCCTTGCTACCCCTCTTGCCCTTTTGTGAATCAAGTTGCTTCCGCAGCTCCACGATCTCCATGCGATACCGCTCTAAAAGCACTCTTGCACCGCCGTCGCCTCCTGCACCAAGAGCCTCTTCCGCTCTTTTGGCGTGGCTTACAATACTGTTCTTGGCCCGCGAGGCGAATTTCAGAGTATTAATGGTTTCGGTCGTGTGGGAGTTTGCGGCCGCGGTACTGCCGGCGGCTCCAATCTGGATGGTGCAAAGGATGCTCACTAATGAATTGCCGGACAAGGCTCCCTGGAGGAGACGCGTCAGTTTGCTGTCACGGTAAGGCAGGTGTTTGCCTTCTTTGTCGCTGCTTTTGCTTTCCTTATCCTTCCACTCGGATAACTTTGATATGACAGTTCCTAGTGTGAGAAGACTCTTATTGATATGGGCACCTTCTTGTCTCCGCTCCTTGGACTCGGCTGCTTTTTCAGAACCAGCCAGATCAATCAAGCTCAGAGTGGACACACGAACACCTCCAGGGAGAATAGCTGAGCGCTTGGCTTCGTTCCCGCCAGCAGCGGCACCTGGGGTTCGTTCGCGGCTTTCAACGACGATCTGAACGACTGCGTGACTCCGCGAACTGCGGGCATTGAATTGTGTGCTGGCAGTTCGTCTCGCCTGGTCACCACGCGCAATAACCCGGAGCAATTGTGTAGGGCTTTGGACGATTTCTTCCTTTAATGGCGTGGCATAGACGCCACGCTTGCTGTCCTCGCGAAGTTTAATCTCGTCCTGCTGTGGAGCTCCACCAATACCACTGCCCGTCGGCATACTTAACAAGTCATGAATTCTCTCGTTGTAAATTTCAAGATAGCTGACACGTAGCAGAAATTCTCGTGACGGCGTTTCCCGGATGTATGAAAAGATGTCGGTAATTGCCAGGGGAATGACGCCTGGTGATGACGCTGTTCCTTGCATCGAAAATGTCTTGCCCGTACCGGTCATACCGTAGGCAAAGACTGTTCCGTGGTAGCCTTCCATGACTCTCCGGACGAGTCGCTTTGCTATATGGTCATATACACGCGCATTGTTGTCATGCGTTGTAAAGACATTATCTACTCATTTGTTAGCAGGGTGCTGTTTGCGGGGTACCAAGGTACGTTTTGAGGCGCGCGCAGCTTTGGTGCCCATGTACATACCATAAATATAATCACCGCCTTCTTTCCCTTTGTAGGCGATGAGTGACTTGCGTCCATCAACCATCCATTCTCCTTCGGGATTTGACTGGCCAAGGGCGTTGTCCGGACGGACTCTCACGCTAACAACCACATTGCCTTTGCCGTCGGATTTGGATGATCGTTTGTCGGAAGCGGAGCCAACAACAGGTGCACCTGCGTCGACTTTCACTGCCGACCCTTCCCCAGGTTCATCATAAGTCGTTGCAGAAGTTGAGTATGAGTCTTGTGCGGAAGAGCTTCGGCTTTGCGGCGGCGAGGAAATGCTTATCAACCCATCCGACATGCGAGCGTTGCTGATAGATTTGCCCTCTCCGCTACCATTCAACAAGCTCGGAGTAGATGGAGAGTAGGTCAGATGAGACAGCTCCTTGGGCGTCTTCGATCTCCGAGATCGAGTCTTTTCGCTGGCTAGCGGACTAGGTGGCAAGCTGCTAGACCTGCTCTCGCCTCGTGGGGGATGTGGAAATGAGCTGATACTGACGGTTTTCCTAAGCGTCTTGCCCGCGGCGTTGACAGCGCCGACGGCGTTTACACTGGCAAGGCTTTTGGAAAGAGGCAATATCGTGGTCGGAACCGGGGTCGGAGGTGTCAAGATACTCGAAGGAGCTCGAAGACCACTCCTTGGCGTGGACGGTGCAGACTTTACTGGAGCATGCGACGGGATATTTTCTGTGCTTTTTCGAGTTTTGTGTACTGGCAAAGCAGGTAATGCCATATTGGGTGGGCCATTTGAGGACCGTGATGGCCGCGGCAAGGCTGTCGCCATTTCGAGTACTGGCTCAGCGATTTGTGAGAGGCGATGAAGCTTGGAGTCGAGAGAGTCGACTTGTTCACCAGAGGGCCTGTATAGAGTAAATAAGCCTGCGACGCGTATTGTGCCCATCCACACAGTCCAAGTATCAGAGCCGCCCGCTACCTAAATGGCCAAGATCTGGTTCGTCTGCAATTCTAGATTGGCTGAAACACTAGGGGGCCGAATAAGAGGACCGTCGCCTGGCATAGAGTGGTGGTCGAAAGGGAAACAAGTGTCTGGCAAACAGGGTCGACTGCATAAAATTCGTGTCGTTGCCACTTAATAATTCGTCGCCCTAATATTCAGGGCGGTCAGTCTATATGATCCTGTAGGTGGAGAGCGGGTCGAGGGCTCAAGTCATGAAAGTCGTGAGAGGCAGCAAAGACATGAACCGGTAACATACGAAGGGGAGGGGGCAAAGAATCAAAACATAGGCGACAGAACCCTTCGAAGGGGTGATCCGGTGTATAAACATACCAAGACCTCTTTCTTCCTTTGAGAAGCAGAACAGAGGTTATGAAGAACAAATGGTGCTGTTTCTGACTGTCCAAAAATCCCACCCTCTCTCTACTCGGCTGCTAGCAATACCCGCTGAGAAAGTCTTGGAATAATGCTGTATGGGAAGACGGGAAAACAAAACAAACAACGTGACAAAGCGCTGTCTAGATGAAAGCTGTCACTGACTATCAGTCACAAAGCTAGCGGGGCGAATCTAGCAAGATCGTTTTCTTTTTCTTTTCTTTTTGGTACCCTTCGGTCTCGGTTTGAGCTCGGCGAAGGGTTCGAGGGCGGCAGAACCTGGTTCGGTGGGGGAGGGTTGAATACTGTCTCAATTGCCTTCGATCCTCTTCAGACTTTCCTCTCCGTCGGTTTTCGAAATGCGGCCTGGAACAACGCACCAAGCCTCCTGTTGGTGCTGTCGTCGTCAATGGCGGTGGTGGTTTGACAAAAACGACGAGCAGAAAGTCGAAGTGCTCAAAAGGGGTGGGTACAACACCAAGGCTCCAAGTTGGTACTTCGGACGTGGTAGTCAGATGGGAACATGGGATGGCACTGACATTGAAGTACTCGGCACCGAGTGCAAGAACTTACTTACCTTGGTGGGCGGCAACGGCAACGGCAACGGCAACGGGAAAAGCCCCGTCTGCTCCAAGGTTTCCAATTCAACTAGGGAGCCAATGTCGGGGTTCTGCTCAAGACTGGCAGTCAGGGGTGAATGGATGGAATAGTGTGAGCACAAAGCCCACCCCCAAACAGCACGTATCACAGTCCAAGTGGAGAGCTGGAGAGCGCCATGAGCGCCATGAGCGTCTTGAGCGTCTTGAACGTCTTGAACGTGCTGGGCACGGCGAGCAGACGTGATGGTTTTGGGTTTTGGGTTTCGGGTCAACGGGTCAAATGCTCAATCTTCCCCTTTTCCCCTCCAACCTGCACGTCCATGTCCATCACTGCCTGGCCAAGCGCCTAGCGACCAGATACCATGGCAAGTAATACCAGACCCTTGGTAACGAACGGGTGCCTAGCGAACTGACTGGTTCACCAAGACAGGCCTGGCGAGGGCCCCACTGCAGCAGCCAGGGGGGGGCACCGGAGCAAATTGAGTCGAAGGAGTCAGCAGTCTGGAGACGTGCAAGACAAATTGCGAGAAAGAAAGCGGGAGAAAAGATTTTTTTTAAAAAAAAAAAATTTTTTTGAGTCAGTGGTTACTCCGTGCATAAAAATGATAACTGTTCACCAACGTATTTGATTAAATGTTGAAAGGTCGAAAGCAAGCCACGGAAGCATGACACATGCACACACAAGGGCGGAAGGCAATTGCCATGTGCAGCAAACCGACTGTCAGTGCCATCATTGATCAATCGCTTGGCCCGTCCGTTGGCCACCCACCATCCACCATCCACCATCCACACAATCCACCAACATCCCCTGTCCCGGCCGCCTCGAACCTGGTAGCTCGACGCCACTTATTAGAAGCACTTGGGCGCCTCCGGCTCATGTCCGGAGTAGTACCAGCCAGTCAGTCGATCAGTCGACACGCGGGCCACAACGCTGGAGACGCATAGCGAACAAAGATGACATTTGTAACCAGTCCATCCGGAACGGAGTCGAGAGAGCCAGGCCACTGGTACATAGTATTACGGAGCACTACTGTGTGCCAATGCTGCTGCTTTCTTCGCTCTCGTCTTCTCGACCGAAAACGCGGCCAGCAGACGTGGCACAAGAGACCATGGTAAGGCGTCGTACGGAGTACATGGCTGAAAAGACTGTGGATGGCACAAGTTGGTTGAAGCTTTTCGTCTTGCGTGTCTTGCCCTCGATAGCCTATGAACGAGCTTTCAGACTCTGCGCACGTTTCTGGGTACGTACATGCTATCCAAGGTCGATACACGCGAGTCACGTCATTTACGACAGCTCTTCCTAACGATAATGCACACTGTTGGCATTACACCATACATAATGTACTCAAACGTAAAGGCAATAACTACGCTGCCGACGGGGCAGGCAGCTCAGCCCCGGATCAAGTCAAGCGGCAACTAATGAAGTAAAGTCCTCCGTGCTGGTCCCCGATTTGTAGTCTCCAGCGTCGTCGAGGACACTAGCAAGCACGAGTTGGGAGAGCCGTGCAGTCTACCAGGTTGACAGGACTTCTCCAGCACTGTTGGAAATGCTGGGGGCGCGAGATGGGTCTGCTGGCGCCCAGCGAGAGAGGGCAAGAAGAGTAATTTCCTGCACATCACACTGCCGCGTGCCTGCAATGTAATAAATCTCGGTATGCGTTTTATTGGCCACTAGGTTTTGCGCAAGCAAGAAACCCCTGAGCTGGTTGCTGATCTACATGTAACACTCATCTTGTGGCTTTTGGCGTCAGAGGCACCCTGGTGCGTTTACGGGTGCAAATAAAAGCGAGTTGCAATATTGTGTGTGGGTGGGTGTACAATATGATGTGTATGTTAACAATGTTGCCCAGGGCTCAGCTTTTCTTGACATCTTGGTCGTCTTCTCATGCAATACCACGTCATGGACGAGCGAGTCGGGTTTGTGCAGGTTTCTCTGCTCTGCATAAGTCACACTTGAATATCATACATGGTGCCCAGTGCCTAGTGCCCATGCCTGCCCTTGACGCATGAATATTGTAGTCGGTACGGAGTACTCACTCAGAAAGACAGTGCGGGTTGAAGGGTCAACGGTGCATATGCGCGCGTCAGCTCTTTTCTTTTGGGACATCGACTTTGGACAACCTTGAAGCTGCCAGGAATAGCCAGTCTGGAGACTGGAGGCAGGCTTGGCACAGTCGTTCCTGGCTCCTGCCGTAGAGGCCGCCTCCCCGCGTTCCCGAGGTCTGAGCTGAGGACCTCCACTCGATCCATCCATGTCGTCGTCCCATCAGCAGAGAACATTGCAGTGGCATTGTACGGAGTATGGGTTATTAACGGCAAACATGTCTCCTCGACGCTCTGATGTTTTGTCCGATGTCAACTGGGCTTCAGGGCCTATCAGGAAGCTATCGCGCGTAAGTATTCCGAACCCCGGGCATGCCTCATTACAGCGTTATGGGGGGGGCATGCCCTATTGAAGGCCCGGTTGGCTAATGCATTGAAAGTGCTGATACTTATTTTGCCTCATCTTGATTGCCCCTTTGCCCCGTCATGCCCTTCTCGAGAGGCGAATTCGACCCGATCCGCCCCTCCAAGGCCAACGATATGGCCAAATTTCGATGCACCACTCTCCCCAGTGAAGCCAGCAGGGGCATCACACCACACCAGGCTTAGGCTAGTCGACAGCCACCCATCGCCCGAGGTCCAAGCTCAAGAACGAAGACGGAGAAATTTGACTTTTTAGTTTTCCTTGGTGGCAACGGTTTTAGTGTGCAACTGTCAGGCGTTGGCCTGCCATCTCAAGTTAGTATGCATGGCCAGACGCCGCGCTGAACCTTCCTCGTAACCCTAACCCGATACGCTCTCTTCTCTAGCTTCCGGGCCTAGCTCCGCGTTATAACCCTCAATCTCAATTTGGCACCACCAACCTGACTAATTTCAGTTGAACCGGTCAAGGCCTATTAGTACCTTGTGCAATCTCCCCAATCGCGCTTGAAGAAGAGGATTAGGCATACTACTAGTTTGCGGGGACCGCAACGGGCCCCAGCGTTATACTATCTCCAAGTAGGTTGCTAGCTTTGCAGCATCAAGTTCCTAACGTTGTACTAGTATATTAACTATGTGCATGTTATAGGATAGGTACGGACAACCCTCGTCACAAGCCGTCGCCAATCGCCATGGGATGACGCAGGCGCTCACCTGCAAGGTGATTGCCCCTTGGTGGATGCTGCACATTGCCGCTCGGATCTGGTCGCTTGCTAGTTACGGAAGTAGTAGTAGTACTAGTAGTAGTATCAATCGTTGTCAACGGGGAACAAAAAGAGTTGCCTAATCTTTCTGAATTTGGCAGGGCCTCGCTATGTTGAGTTTCGCCCAACTACGAACTAGGGCATGGTCCTGTCGGAATCAACGTAACCCTGCTTCATGCAAAACAAGGCGATGTCAAGACGGCACCGTGGAGCAAGTGGCCCGGCCGGATAGCCACTTCACGGAATTATTCTAGCTCGGGCTTCAGCTTCGAGTGAGCTCAGAGTATTGCTACTCTCTTCACCTCTTGACAACTAGTCCTCCTCCTTTCGCCACTTGCTATACTTCAATAACCCAGTTGGGCCGGTAAGTGAGGCAAGGATTGGTGCTGATCCTTTTTCCTTCGCATCCGAGGATGCTGCGCATATGCAGGCGAACAATCAGCAAAATTAGGAGACTTGGAACAGCGAGATTGGGTCGTGGGTCAGGAAGCACCAATCTTCTAGCCCAGCAAAGGCAAGTATCGCCTCTATGTAAGTGTCCAGACACGTCCTCATGTCTGTACGAAAGCCCGACTTGTCTACTCCAGAATCCTCAGTAGGTCACGTTAGGAATAAATCACGTTTATAATCCAAAAACAGGAAGGGGGAAACACGCCACTATGCAAAGGTACGGAGTGCACGAAATGCACACATGCATATGTACATATGTGCCATCGACGATAGTACGAGGCCAGGATACATATACTACATGCAGCCAAGCAAAATCTACCCACTTCATGCCTGGTTCAGCCCTTTTCAGATATTCTACCATATGGCCTATTTCACCGCGCGCAAACCTCGTCTCAGTTATAGTCAGCAATGATGCTTCTGCATTGCACACACCCATACTTAAGGTTTGATGACTCTAACAAGGCTACATCGAGGCACACTTGCTAACTCATACCAGCAGAGAGAGCTACCGTTGACAAATATTCATATCTGAGACCCATCATCACACAACAGCAATGCCCAAGCACCATCAGCAACATGCATCTTCCCTGTCCATTTCTTGACGTGAGGGCTGATGGACTGTGGAGCATCATATTTGCAGTAAAGTCTATACCAGGCCAACCCCCAGGCAAAAACAACGTCTCCCCCGGTTGCTGTAACTAAACGTCTGATCCTTGAGACTGCATGGCGGCGACTGATAATAGGTATGATCACCGGCATACTTGTTTGAGACAGCCCAAAACGGAATAACAAGCCGTCAATTTTCGCGAATCACACTAAATCAGACCACCTCTCAACCAAATAGAGGTCCGTGTCTTTACTCTATTAATGGCAGCTGTTTCGTCATTGCAAGATAAAGGCCATGTTTTTGCGCGAGGTTGGAAACTCGCTCTGAATCCCCTTGGATGTTTTTACCCCGAGAACCCTTCATGGTCTCTGTTCGGGGCTTGAATGCACCCGTGCCGGTTAGATCTTTTTTTTTTTCCTGTTTCTGTTTTCTCGTATTGCTTCCGAAATGTGAATATGCCGGCGTTCGCGTGTCATAGCCACCTTTGGATCCATCTCTCGACCGCCACTAAGATGGTAATAGTAATATCCAACATCGACAAATAAACAAGTAGCGCAAGATTTCTGGTACAAAGATACATGATCTTAAGACAAATCTGTACTAAACCTGGTCAACGGGTTCCATATTTTGGTACCGACTACTACGTAGGTAGTTCTTGTTCTGCAAGTGATGTAAGTGAGACACGCATCGATATCCTGCATGAACCTGGGCGACATGGGCGTCCTCCTACATCAACATCATCTCCAATAATACCAGGATTAGAATAATACGACCCTCCTTCCTGGAAGAATATCCTCTTGCCGAGAGGAACATCTCCATCACGAAAC